GGACAGGGTTTAAGTCACCCATGAATCCCACCAGCTACCTTGACAGGGGAGGCTGTAGTTGCTGTTGCTGCTGGAGGCTCCATCATTCCAAGGTCACCTCCTTCCTCTTTCTTTTCTGCAAGCTGAGATTGTTTCTTGGATGGAGATTCTTCCAAGGTAGCAATAGAAATAAAGAGAAACATGAAATGGTTTATTTCCATCTTCCTCATGAATTGTCAGCCTATTTCTCTCAAAGCCAGTCCTGGCTCTCCTTTCTTGATTCCTTGGAGGATTTCTCTATCAACAACTCCAACCACATCAGGAGCCATCTGGGACTCCAGATAAAGGAACCGTTGAGCCCATTGAACCACTTCACTTACTGCTTTTCTTTGTCCAGCAATAGAAGGCAAATGGAACCAGCAGGATTATAATAGTAATGGCCACCCGGGAATATCTCCATATAGGACCTGAATCTTGGGTTGAAACTATTTTGAGTAGGAAACAAAAAAAAATGATTGTGGAGCTAGTTATCAATCCCACAAAAAGCCACATTGCCTTTCTCCAGGACTTTCTTTGCCTTTCCTAGTTTTGCCTTTCATGGTGGTCTCAAGGTTTAACCACATCCAAATCTCCTCCTACCTGGCTCAACTGTGATGTTCTTCCCCTGGCTCAAAGGAGACATGATCCATTGGTTCCTTCTCTTCTCTTCATAACTGCAAAAAAATTCCCCACTGTGGTTGATCGAGGCATGAGGGATTCTCAGAGAGGCATTTTGAAGAGGGTTTTTGGGTTCAGTGGAGGGTTCAAGAAGATCTTCTTCACTGGAGGTGATCTCCACCCCATCCTTGTAGAAGTGGAACTTCTTCTCTGTGGTGCCTCCTTCCATTGAACAGAAGAAGACCAAGGGGTCACCTTCCTCCACCCTCTGGGACAACGGATCCACTTTCAGCAGAGGGGAAGGGAGGACATCTGCACAAAATGTTCACAAGGGAGATATATTAACGTCTACTTTGAAGCAGGAGAGTTTCCCCAAATCATCCAGAGTATCTCCTTGAATCTAAGGTACCATTTCTATGAGGCAAAGCAGTGATATTTCAGATAATGGAAGTTAAAATGGAAAATAAGGAAGGGAAATGAATTTTACTGTAGCTTAGAGTGAAAATAACACACTACACCAAGAAATCATTAACTCCAAGTTACCCAGGCGTTTGCTCTTCCCGAGACCACCCTTTTCCACGAGTGACCACAGCATGGTTGACTCTTGTCTCAACGTACGTCCACACA